CCCCCGGGCGCGCCCCCTGCCCCCCCCCGTCTGTCTGCCTTGCCCCCGCTGTGGGTGCGCCTCCTGCCCTCTCCTGTCTGTCTGCCTTGCCCCCTGTCCCTTCCTGTCTGTCTGTGTCTGCCTTGCTTTCCCCCCACCCCCGTGGGTGTGCCCCCTCCTGTCTGTCTGCCTGCCTTACATCCCCTGTCCTCTCCTGTCTCTCTGCTTCTTCCCCCCCTTATGCTCCCTGCCCCCTCAAACCTCTGTTTTCCTCTAGTATGCATCTCCCACTGCAGGCTTCACTCCCACCTTTTTCGCCCTACCCCATCTCATCAGTCTGCATTTCTCTCCCCCAGTTCTGGCGCTGCAGGCCCGGAAGAAACGGACCAAAGCCAAGAAGGACAAGGCCCAGAAAAAGTAAGTCGAACCCCACAGCCATGCAGCTGGAAACAGGTGTCCAGTGTGGGGATGTTGGGCTTGGGCTTCTCTTCCATAAACACAGCCCCTGGTTTCCTGAGCTTAAGTGGGAAGGAGCAAGGTCTGGTGGCTCCATGTGGGTAACTGAAGGGATCTCCTTTTGGCTCTGAGGACAAGGAATTTCCTCCCTCTTTGGGTCTACAGGGCATCCCTGGAGGGTAAAGTCTGAGGTTCCCCACAGGGTTATTACCTAAAAGTCCCCTGTGCACCCCTTCTCTGTTAATGTAAGAACTGGACCATATCTATGAGCCTTAAAGGGGTCCATTGACTCATCATGAAATGGTTGAAATGACACCTACATCTGCCTCTCTTGATCAGTCTCCTAGGCATCATTTAGGCTAGAAAAGCATCTCAGTTTAACTATCAGCTTATAAAATGACATATGCAAATGAGTATCCTGATTGATTTGCAGATGATTTTAATAATGCTTTTCACTAAATTTACTAATCTCTTAGAGGTGGATAGTTTTGTGCAAAGTCTTCCTTTTAGTAAGCGAGATTAAAAGAAACCTCTATTACACTACAGAAATCCATAGTAGCTCCATAAATCTTTTTGAAGTGTTCAAAATATATTCCATATACTCACTGTGGATTCTGGGGAGTGGGAGCTACAAATCCTGTTTGTTTATACGAGAGGCTAAATTTTAAGTAGCTCTAGGAATTCAGCTAACTTGGATATGGAAGAAGTTCCTATAATTGTTACATATATTTTTGAGAACAGCTACTGTAAGGTGAATTCATACAACTAAAAAATATCTAACTTAAAAACTATAACTCTTCTAAACTATAATTGTCTTGTACTTGGAATAATAAACTGCCTCTGGGGAAGGGTTATTGGTGGGACTGAAAATAATAATCTGACAGTTTTAATATCAAATAAATTGGGGGGGAAGTCAAAGTAATGCTTTTTTTGTGGAAGGTACAGAAAAGGGATTGACATCTCCGATCTTGAGCTATTCCCCATCAATCATTATAGGTTCTTACTTTTAATTCTGTAATAACTCAGACATCCGTCTTTTAGACAGAATATAATGTGGCCTCTATAGAGGTTTGTATATTGTATCTACAAAGATTGTGATCACTGTGTGTCTACAAAATAACTCTATCACTTTCATTATACTGCGGAGTTGGTTTGCGGATCTTTTGAGTCTGCATCTCACTTTCCTTCCTTCCTTCCTTCCTTCCTTCATTTCGTTTCAAGATTTCATAGAGAAAAGAAATTAAGCAAAACAATTATCTAACTCACTGGAAAAATCTGCCCACCAAAGTACTAACTTTTTACTTGTACACATTTATAAACTTCCTTTCTATGGTATTTCATAAACTTATTTCAAGGCGTGACCACATCTCTTCAACTGGACAGAGCTCATTGAGGTATCTTTAGATGGATTTTTTTGGGTCTGGTTGTCAGAAATGGAGCAGACAGGAGCTCGCTTGTTTAAATGGATTACTAAACCGTCTGGAGCCCAGCACTACAAAGCAAACATTATATCATAGAAATGTAGGGCTGGAAGGGGCATCAAGAGGTCAAGTCTAGCCCCTTGTGCTGAGGCAGGGTATGTTAGACATACATAATATTTGTATGTGGGAGTTAAAAAATCAGGGAGCTGCATGGGTTACCATCTTTCATTATGGGCAGTATTATTTTCTTTCTCTCAAGCATTGACTTCAATTCTACAAGCATTTAATCAGATCTGCAAATTGTACATTAACAGGTTGTGAAGGTTTTAAGTATAACTTGTATCTAAAAGTTAAAATACATACCAGTATACACGCAAATAGAAATTTAAGGTTTAAATGCAAAAAGCCTCCATCAGGACACTGCTTAGTCCTGAATTTGTCATGGTTTTGAAACTGAGTACTGAGGGTCAGCCACTTGGTTTTTAGCCCACTAATAAAAATATACTTTTATTCCTCTCTTGGAGGAGGTGGGATTTTCAGTAACTCACGCTTTTGTGCCAGCAGAATTTCTTCTGTTATAATACTCTGTAGCTGTTTAACACCTTTCATACAAGGATTTCAAAGCACTTTACAAAGGCGAGTAAGTTGTATCTGTATCTTATAGATCAAGAAAAGGAGGAGCTCTCAGGGTTGAGTCATTAAACCCAATTTCTAGTCCTGACTCTGCCTTGATCAGACAGTGGGCAAGTGGTAACAATAATACCTACTTTTATAAAGTGATGTGAGAACCAAGTGAAAAATTAAATTCAAAGTATTACTTTTAAAGTCATATAGTGAGTCAGTGATAGCCATTAATAGTACCCAGGTCTCCTGCAAGCTCACTGCTCTGAATTCTAAAATGTTGTCTTATGCACATACATTGTGAATCTTCTGCTGTGGCACATGGCTTGTTTACTGAATTTAGTTGCATGATCTTCAGATCTGTTGTATAAAGTTCAGCATTCTTAACTGATGTATTGATTTAAATAGAATGTCTGAAGAGGCGCTAGTAATGTATGAGGCCCTCTAAAGCTTTTTTTCCCTCCCTGCCTGTATTTTATTTGGCGTGACATCACACAGAAAAGAATTTTCTGCTTGGACCTGTCCCACTTGCGGGATGAAGGGAACATAGAAATGATAGAAAATATATTGCTGCTAAGAAGGTAGAAAGTGTAGTGTTGAGGCAGACACATTGAACTAATTGCATGCTTGTGTACACATGCTCTAGAATACACCATATAATATCTGTGGGACATTTGCAATAAGTTGGCATGAAGTAATAATTGATGATGCTCCTATGTGAGTGAACATGATGGACTTAACTTTTTACCTACTACACCTTGTGAGTTAGGAGAGTGAGGATATGTGGAAAGGAAAAATTGCCTTTGAGGGGTGATTAGGATATTGTCTCCATGGCTTCCAGTTTGTAGATAACTTGTTAATCCCCTAAGAAGAACTGAGGCTTGCTACAGTAAAGGATCTCACTGTTCTGAGGTTAAATGTTACAGTTGAGTGGCTGTAGCATCACTTGCTGTAAAACAGTTCCGTGTCCATGTTAACCAGCCTGCCTTGTGTAAATATAGTGGCCGTTACTTAAATTGGTTCTTGGCTTTCTATCCTTGACTATCCAGTAGGGTCAGATCTTTGATAAAGAGGAGAGATGAAAGGGCAGTTGGACAAAAATATTTTTACTTCTGAGGAGACACAGCTACTTGCTGGAGTGGAGGAACAAATTGGGATTCATCATAAAATACTGTAACCTGGTGGTGTGTGTATTCCTGTCCTTACTCTGGGAGGATTGTGGCTCTTGTCTGATTAGCAAGCTTTTGAACATTTGGCTAAGCAGCTTTAATTCTAAAAGCATTTTCCCTACTACAGTTGATCACCATGCATGTTGGATTCGGTCCCTAAGTAGAGAATGGTTGACGTGGTTAATGAATTAGTTTGTCACTCGTGTTTTGCCAATCTTTAGAGCAAATAATTCTCTAAAATATACTAGCTATAAACTGTTAGTGAAATAGCAGCAAATACTTTGTTGGTATATATGTCTCAAATGGTGGAACAGAGATTATACACCTCTACCCCGATATAACGCAAATTCGGATATAACACGATAAAGCAGTGCGCTGGGGGAGGGCGGGGCTGCGCACTCCGGCGGAGCAAAGCAAGTTTGATATAACGCGGTTTCACCTATAATGTGGTAAGATTTTTTTTTTGGCTCCCAAGGACAGCGTTATATCGGGGTAGCGGTGTACTTAATGGAACAATTAATGACGTATATTGCAACAAGTCACGTTATAGAATTCACAATATCCTCTGTTTAACTTTTACCTGTTGCTTCAAGTTACACAATAGAAACTATTTTCACTTTATGGTATTTCCTATGTGTTTAAGAGGGGCAAAGGGGCGTGGGAGGGTGCAATCCAGTGGTAGTGTTGTACACAGTTAGGGCGGAGCAGGCAGCAACTTATTTGAGCCATTTAGATTGTAATTGTCCAGAAGGTGACCACTTCTTGCTTTACAAATAATGTGAATCTTTTTACTACCTTTTTCCAGGACTTGCTTTTTAACTTTTTGAACTAGGATATATAAAGGATGGGTAGGGAGAGCTCTTTACATCTAAAAAGTCAAGTTACTAGCCCTTAGTTAAACTGAAACGAAAGCTGTCAAAGTAGACGTTAAATTTCTGATGCCATTAGTTGAAAGGTTTTTAATTGAGAAGGCTGCTAGACACATTAACCATATAATATATACTTTAGGGCAGGGATCTCAAACTCAAATCACCACGAGGGCCACATGAGGACTAGTACATTGACCCGAGGGCCGCATCACTGAAACCTTTTCATACAACAATACAAAAGTACAGTCAAAAATGATAAGTAATATAGTATGCTATTAAAAGTCAATGTATCAACTTTTTAAAAACTGTAATGTGAAGAGGGGTTTTAATAAAATATAAACACCTGTAACTATTCCTTATGTGGTCAGTAACACTGATGATCTACGCTAACAGTCTATCAACATAGCTGTAATGGCAGGAACCTTTTTAAAGTAACTATTCATACAGAATACATTGCCACTTCTAACACATTCTTCCCAACTACTCACAGCAAAGAATCATACATGCTGAACTTCATACTTCAGACTGCTTGTCTAGTCCATGAGGCCCCGCCCCTGCCTTGCCTCTTCCTACCTCTTCCCCAAAGTCCCTGCCCCAACTCCACCCCCCCTGCCCCAAATCCCCGGCCCCGCCTCTTTCCCTGAGAGCGCCGTGTCCCTGCTCCTCCCCCCTCCCTCCTGGAAAGTTTTAAGTGGCAAGCACTGGGAGGTAGGCTCAGGAGCAGGGACGCAGTGCATTCGGGGGGAGGGGTGAGGGAGCTCGGCTACTGGTGGAGTCGGCGCCTATGGCGGGCCGCAGGAAATAACTCCACGGGCCGTGTGTTTGAGACCCCTGCTTTAGGGTGAAGGAATGGATACAGGGTGAAGTAAGGAATCAAATAC